TTCCCCCCCCCCCCCCATTTGATAATATATGTCTTATCTATTTATCTATCTGTCTGTCTGTTCTGTCTCTGTCTGTCTGTCTGTCGGTCTGTCTGTCTAGCTATCTAGCTATCTATTTTTTTGCTTTTATGTGCCTTAGAACTTCCAATAATGTCCTAAAATCCAGTCTCGTATTGCAGCTAAGCCGTTTCAGTTTTGTTTTGAATTTTTTAGTATTTAGGTATCACTTTGTTGCCATGGGATGTTTCTTACAACTCTTGGTGCCCTCTCCCCCCACCCCCACCCCTTTTTTGTGGATCTAGTGCTATAGTAACGTTGACAATATCTTACTTTGTTCCTTTTTGGGTGTGTTTTTGATTATTTCCTTTGTCCGTGTGCCATTCTCCATTCTCTTGTGTTCGCAGATGTGCATAATTATTCATGTACGCTTACTAGACATTATGGAATCACTGTTAGAAGTGGGAGTGGTTGGCGGGCCGTCTGGTGTGGTTTACTCCTTCGTTTCTGTCAAACATCTAATCTATTGTCCTTATTTCTCCTTTTTTTGTGATGTTACCCTCTAGTAGTAGCACCTTTAGTCTTCAGCTCTTATATTATGATCTATTAGTGTCGTAAGTGCTGTAAAACTGACTAGTGGGTAGTTGGCGGGTGCTTTGATGTGATTTGCTCCTTCTTTCCTATCAAACATCTGTCGTCTTCGTCTTCATCTCCCCTCCTTCGTTACTCTCTTGTAACACCTCTAATCTTTGGCACCTATATGACCTTATTGTGTTGCAAGTGCCTTACAGCTTACTTAAACAAAACTGACTAAAACATACAAATAGAAGAAAATAGTCTATTGTTGTTTGTCTGGACGTCATTTCATTCCCACTTTCTTGTTTCAGATTGCAAGATGATAATTTTTTCTCCAACAACATACGGCTGGACCCTCCCATGCTTGATTTTCAAGACCAGTGAGTACCATTGTCAGTTGTTGTTTATTTTTAGCAAGAATTGTGTGTGTGTGGGGGGGGGGGGTCCTCTGGTGTGGTTTGCTCCTTCTTTCCTATAACATCTATCGACATTATGTCTCCAGCTCCTTTTCATTGGAAATTAACCTCTGGTGACGCCTTTAATGTTAGACACTTATAAAATGACGTAAAAATTTTCTTTGAAATATGAAGACTTTCATATGTACCATTGTATGTACCAAGACTTTGTCGACTGGGTAAAAGTAAACTGTCTCCTCCTCCTCCTCATCGTCCTCATCGTCCCCCTCCTCGTCCTCATCGTCGTCCTCCTAGTCCTCGTCCTCGTCCTCGTCCTCGTCCTCCTCCTCCTCCTCCTCCTCCTCCTCCT